CATGCAGCAAATCCATTCTTTTGATTGAAGACTACTTCCAGGGTAAATGTGAAAAACCTATGCCTACTTGGCACAATTGCTAAATAAATTAATTTAAAAAACCCAAACAAGCAACACAGCAGAAATACCAAATTTGCCCTGGATATACAGCAGTAAAACCATTTACATCCACAGAGAACTTTCATGTCAGCTGCTGCCCATGGCCTTATAGAGCACAGCAGTGACAAAGGCTGGAAATTTTCCCAGCAAATCCAGCAATGTCCAAGGAGGTAAAATGAAGCCCTCTTCTTTTGATCTACATGCAAGTGTTTTTACTAGACACTTCACCACAGTGTGACTTCAGACATATGAACTGTGCCTTGAAGTTCATTGTGTAAAACTATATTTAGCCACACATATGCCAGGGAAGGCCAACATAAGCCCTGTTCGCCCTGTGTGTGTTTGATTTCAGGGAAGGGGGTGGAGAATACAAAGTATTTACATCTCCATCAAAAGTTGCCGTGTTATAAAAAGGAATGAGCAACGTTCTCTTGGAGTCAAAGATGAATGAGCAGTTAAATACAAAAGAAAAAAGCTATAAAATATTTCTGTTCTGTAGAACAGTTTATATGTTTATATGTTCATAAACATGCTGAGTAACAGCTACATAACCCTTTATTTATTTTTCTACGTACTTCTACAATAAGCCTTCCTTTTTATTTTTGCATGTCTTCTGTTTCACTGCTGCACTGAAAGCAACATTTTTGTTTTACAGAGTTTTCAGTACTCTGCCTCTGTGCCAACATCCCTTGTTTGGAGGGGATTATATATCAAGCAGCACAACAGCATACCCCCTTCTTCAAATATTTTCTCCTGTGTTCAAGTATTCCCTTGTTCCTGAAAGCCTGGATTTGTCCCAGGCAAATTCACAAGCTATCCTTCCCTCCATCCATAACAACGAGACTCTCTGTTGTCCCTTCACACCATCTCCTTCCTGGAGGCTGTAGCAGATGAGCACTGGCAGATCAGCCCCAACGTGACTGCGCCCATTTGCTGCTCCACCAGGTGTAAAGGCAAGGTGTGTATCCAAAACTCAGCTGCTCCAGTTCACAGCTGCCCTGTACAGTGGCCATTCCCACTTGGGAAGTAACTGTCAGCAAAGTGCCAACATAAAATCTGGGGGGAAAGAAGGAAGACCTTTACACCACAGTCTACCTGCTTAAGTGGTAATTTATCTAATGGTAACTTTTAAGTCCAGGGCAATTTGTACATAATTTGAGGAAAAACAAAGATTGCAGTAAAACAAGCTAATACAGAAGATAGTCATATTTCATATTAATATGAAAATAATGTATCTAAGTTCATTTATCATCCAGTTTATCTCTGAAATTTATCATTTGTAACACTGGAATGTATTCAGTGACAAAAAGATGCTGGAAATCTCTTGCAGCATTTTTTGGCAAGAGTAACTACTCAATTTTTGTTGGGTTTTTTTTATGCAAACCAGTATTGTAAGCTATTACAGTAAAAACTGAAGTCTATTCTTTGTATTTTCTCTGAAAGGATACAAAGATGGGCAGCATTTACCAGCGTGTGCATTTCTCATTTCCAGGGGAATTAGCAGCTATGAAGTAGTGACACATTACAGGTGTGTAAGTCCATAATGCTTTCTGGCATGAAATTGAAAAGAGAAAAGCAGCTGAAGTCATGAAACACAGATTCTCTCCCTAACTCTGCCAAGCTTCTGTGTAACCACAGCCAATTCATTTACTTCCACAGCTAAATGGGGACGGTCACTTCCTTAGTACAGCACTTCAAATTTGCTGATGCAGTGCTGTGTGACAGTGCCAAGGTATTACTATTATTGATATAGTTTACTGTGAAAAAGGTGATAGGTTATTAATACTTTACAAAAGTAAAATCGGCTTGCCCCTTGAGGGTTTTCTTCCTCAGCTATAAAGCATTATCCCCCTTCCTACATATTTCTGCCTGTTATTCTTCCTACAAACCTTGCCTTCTATTATACAAATATTCAGAGAAGAAGAGAGCCCTGATTTCCTATAGTAGAATAGCAACAAAATCCTGTCTAGTTGTTTATCTACTCCAGCTGAACTCTGTGTAAGGCAGGAATGCTGGATGGGATAACAAAAGGCCAATCTGGGATGAACTGAATGTGTCTCCTCCCAGTCTCACCTTTTGAGCATCGACTGACCCTTGGGAATCGTGGCCATTTACTCTCAGCTGAAGCATTCTTGAAAGCAGACCTACACTCACTAACACTCAGTTAACAAACTGCTTCATTTCAGAGTTGGGGAAAAAAAACCACAAAGTCAATCATGAATCTTGCCTTTCATCACTGGTATTTTAATATGCAAACGTGACTCCTGGACTGCCTTTCTATAGAACCAGGCTCACCAGAGTTCATCTACTGTCAACCTTAACAGTGCCATTTCCAAAAGAAAACTGCTACTCTTCTGAGAACAATGTCACCAGGGATGTCCTCTGTGTCATGCAACACTGACCTCAGCTTCAACTTGCTACAAAATCAGTTATCCAATAGGAAGCTCTAACTTCAGCAGAATTAAAAAAAAATATACAAAAAGACAACTCAGAACATTTTTATCCAACTATTTTTTTTCCCTGAAACAGCTGTAGCACACACAAAAATGTCTGCTGCTCTCCAAACTCTTCTGCCATTTCGTTCTAAAAATAGCTCCTGTGCAATCAATCCCAATTGTTAAAGGGCTGGAGGAGCTGTGAGTCGAGGGCCTGGAGAGCTGCAATTAGCACGGTAACTATAGCACTGAGTGCGTATCAATTAATGGCGCCCCACTACTGTTTCATAATACAAATAATTCAGGAAATGTAGCAAGACAGGAATTACATCAGGAAATGTAGTTTATATCATCATTATATAATTATTTATATTTCTGTAAGATGTGGTTTCTCAGACAAATGATTTATTTATTTAAAGTATTGCTTAAATAGATCTTCATTAAAGCTTTTTTCTGCCTCAGCCCCCTGATTCATTTCCATCTGTTTTCAATATACTCAGAAAAGTTTCATTTTTAAAATGATCGAGCCTTTTGAAATATAATGAGATAAGAAACCACTCATATTGGGGCAGGGAAAAAATAGGAAATCTTGTTCTGTTTTGGGGATTTTTTGTTAATGACCCAGTTTTCTGAACTCAAGCCTTGAACCTCTCCATGCATTTTCTTACTGGGCAACTTGATGTTTTACTGCTCTTCAAAAACAACAACAGATCTTCCTGTTTGTACTTATCATAGAAACCCTTCCTGTGGTGCTTTTATTGTAATGCTTGTTCCACTAGGACTGCCTGCATGAATGAGGAAACTTTGACTGAGGACTTGCAAGGCAGTTACAAAGTTTTAAAAACACACTCAACTTGTTTAGAATAGTTTAAGAAATCCAGGCTTTTTTTCAGTATATCATGTTTACTTGCAATGCTTTTACTATATGTGTGATAAATTTTAGTATCCTCAGGTTTGCTATTTTATTATTTCCTAAACTCAAGGTGCTATGAACTGTTTCTAGGCTGGGGTTTTTTGGTTTGGGTTTGGTTTGGTTTGTTTTTTTTCAAAATACAGGAACTAATTTTCAGAGAAGCTCAGCTTTAGAGTTTCAACCTAAAAGTTTGAATGGCTTTAAGACCATAGGGTATCTGTAATATTTCTGTATTATTAGGATTCTGAATTGAAATAAGGGCCTGGTTTTGCTATGTGTTGTAAAAAAATGCAGTTACTACATGTCTGAGCTTACAACTGAAGCACTGAAGACAAAAGGAAGGAGATGGAAAGCAGTATTGCTTCTTACAGGGAGAAGCTGAAGGACAGAAAGAGGGTTTGTAAAATAACAAATCAAAGCAGGGGACACAGCTCCATCCAGATTTCAGGGTTCAGAAAAATTACAGTTACTTTCAAGTAAAACAGTAACAACCCTGCTGTCTGTTTAAAGCTTAGAGTGGAGATATTAAAAATTTACAGAAAAACTGTGAGGCATTTATGTTGAATAGCTCTAAGTTGAATTTGAACAAGTTTAAGGTAGTATTCACAAACATTATCTAGTGCTTCAAAATGCTTTTTGAAGTGAGCAGGTATTTTAAAGGGCGTGACTCTTCTGAAACAGCCACATATAATTACAGTTTCTATATGCTGTAAACCTCTGTATGTAACTGCTACTTCTGGAGTCCTACCTAGGGCACTGGCATCTTCACTGCAAAACAGACAAGAGTATCACGGATCTCGCCCTGAGAAAAGCTCACTGCCTGTTTCTGGAGCTCTGCAGGCAAGGTACTGCATTTCTTTAATTCAGATCCCATTAATATTAAAGCTCTAATTTTAAAAGCTCATAATAAATTTATATGTTTGCATATAATTCCAAAATTAAATTTTGCAAATTGACATTGCTAATATATTGTCTTTTGGGTTTTTTCTAGAAGCTTTCACCCAGAAAAGAAAATCTTTTGCAGTCAGCAGTGCTGTGTAGCACTACTTCATCTCTACTACCAAGTGAGTTCTTTAGTAGTAATAAATTAACTTATTAAATAAAGAAGTATAAATATATCCAGTTGTATTTTCTATGTGCTAGGTATATTTCTAATTTTTAATGAAACAAATACAAAAATACAAACTTGGAGCAATACAGTAAATATTTCATCTATTTCCCAAATACGGTGGAGAAGGTAGTAAATGGAAAAAAGAAATTAAATGTTTAAAATATTTCTGGGATTGTTACATTTTTATATACACCTCTAGTATATGAATCAGAAAATTACCTTTGCCACAGTACTGAAATATATTTATGGTACAGACAAAAATAGATGCATCTATACCACCTTAATTTCCTTAGTAACTTAAAATTTCAGTTGTTGGTGAGGTTTGTTTGTTTGTTTTGTTTCATTTTTTAGAATGAGGCTTTTTAATAAATAAAAATCAGAATATATAGTTTTGATTAATAGATCTCCTTAGGTAATCTGTTAATTATGATTTCCAGCACTGTAGTAATCATTTGACTGCAATTCAATTTTGAATGAAGTTTCTGAGAAAGAGCTTCCCTAAATACACATCCATAGGTGGCACAAGTAGAGCATGTTATGGATATATAAATCCAGGGCACCAGCCATGCCTGATCAAATGTTCATGCTGATAATCAAAGACTGTATGGGGGGGGGGTTGGTCCTTATTAGAATATTTACTTCAGGAATCTAATCTGCTTTTCAGATCTTATTTAGGATCCTGTTTAGGATCCTCCATCCACAGGCAGAACTCGGTCTCTGTTGTGGTCTTGCCACATAGCTGGGACGGACACCCTGACTGTAAAGTGTCCCTGCAGGAAGATGGCTCTTCAGGAGTTACTGGAGACAAACAGGTGATTTTTCATGCTCTAGATATGACAGAGGGAGGAAATACAGTTCCTGGTTCTCACACTTTAAGATAAAAGAAATGAGAAACTCCTGCCATGATCATAGCGCAGTCTCAAGACGTATTTGGCCTTTTACCCTTTCCTTGGAAGTAATTTGTCCTGTCACCACTGGAACAGGTCATTTCAATACAGGGGTCATCACCCCTTCCCCTGGAAATAGCAGTTTTCAATGTTCCTAGAAGGCATCATTTGGGGCTTTCACAAAAACTAACCAGCTGGGTTCTTTCAAGATCCGGTAGGCAGATGCCCTGGAGATTGAATGTAATAAATCTGTCCTTAGGTGTGACTGAATGCATCTTCTTGACAGCTTGTGACCTGCTGCTGAAACAACTTCAAAATACTTTATTTCCTAAGGGAGTCTCTACTCATAGTAATGCACAAAATTTTCTACGTTAGGAAGAAAGACTCTAGTTGACAAAAGGAATCAGTGGCTGCCCAGCCTGCCTTCTCTCCTCAGGCACAAATTAGGATACTAGAGTATATACTTGACAGCTGAGAGCATATCATTGAAAAGCTATTACCTTCCATTAAAAGCAAAAAGTCTGCACTGAATTTTACTTATTTGTTCTTTCTATTCCCTGACTGAGGAAAAGAAGCATCTAATAAAACATTCACCCACACTTAAAACTTAATGCTACACTTCATGGAAGATAAACATTTGTGTTTTTCTTGTCCCTGAGACATTTTGCCCTTAGACAAACATGTATCAATGAGATAGAGAAGACATACAAGGTTATGAGAATAGCAGAAGCTGTAGCTTGAAGAAATATGAAGGAGGAAAGAGAGGGCATTTGGCAATAAGAATAATAAAATGTTCCAGCTGGCAAATATTAAAACATCCAGATATCATGTTAGAATCAGTATGAATTTAGATTACACTGTATGGGAGAAGTCATGAGAGACTTGTGTGAGAAAGACTCAGATGGCACAACTGGAATGACTGTCAGTCATGACTGGAGGAAAAGCTGAGTACAAAAAGATCTTTTATAGGGAAGATGAATTTACACAGTCAGGTGAAAGATGGTTGCATAAAAACAGATGATACAATTGCATAGCTGGAATAGATTGCATAGAGAGGCATAGCTGGATTTTAGTTTGGCAAGGAAAACAAAGGTGTCAGTGGACAAACAGTAATAATAACCGTGATGGCTCACAATAACCTTGATGCCAACAGTTACTGGGCTGCACCAGCAAATGGAAAAAAACCAAACCCACATAATTTCAATATATAAAGGAGACAGAAAGCATATCAGTAACTTTACACATACACGTTGTCGCTCCAAATTCAAATGGAATTACTCATGTGAATAAAACCAGTGATATGCATGAGCCTGAACAATGTAGCCTAGATACCAGAGCAAAAGAAGGACCAACTCTTTTGTCAGAAGCCTGAAAAAATGTTTTGCAAGCTGTTTTCATATTCAGACTCCAAATGACAGGGTCCATTTTGGACTGGAGTCTGGCTTTCTGAAAAATTCTCACTCCCAGATGACATGGTCCAGTATTCATCCCAAGCCAGATGCACATTGGCTTGGGTTTTGGATGGTTGCATTTCTTTGTTTGTCTTTTGCTCGGTAGAAGGCATTTTGTGCTTTATGCTCGTTGATTGTGGAAAAGGGAATGAGAAAAAGCAGGGTGGTGAATCTCCTAAACTGGAAGCAAGGAAAAGAGCTCTGGCTGTCCCTACCACGGACCTCCAGCGCAGCACCGGGGAAGTCGCAGGTCCCTCTCCCCAGCGGTGTCGTGGCTGCTGAGCGCTGACGCCGCTTCCTTCCTTTCATGCGCTTTGTTTCCTTTCGTACCTTAGGATGGAAACGACTTTGTGCACAGCTGCGCACAGCTGTGCCCCTGCCCCGCTGCACGGCAGTGCCGCTGTGTGCACTGGCGGGCTGTCTCGGTGCTCCCTGGGATGCTGGGCGTGCATGGATGCTCTCAGAGCCCTCACCGCCTTTCCCCTGCTCCTCCGGGCGGAGCTCTGGCCGCCCGGGCGCTGCTGCTGCTCCTCGGCGGGCACCGGGCGGGCTCTGAGTGCTGGGGGGGCCACCGGGGCCACCGCCCGCGGGCAAGGCCTCGCCGCCCTCGCCTTTGATCCTCTGATCCCCACCACGGCTGGGCTCGTCCTGATAGGGACGTGCGGAAGGGGAAGGAAAGAAGGAAAAACAGAATCCCGTGAGCCGGCGTGCGGCCGGGAGCGCACCCAGCCCGCGGCCGCCCCTCGGCTCTGCCCGCACAGGGCACCCCCCGCCCCAGGCGCTCAGCTCACCCCGGGGGCGAGGGGGGATCCCCGGCCGCGGGCCCTCCGCCCCGGGGGTCCAGGAGCCCCCGGCAATGGCCCCCCTCCCCGGGGCACAGCCGGGCGCCTCCTCCCTCCCCCTGCTCACCCTCCCCGGGGCTCACCGTCCCCTCCCGCGGGCGGCGGGGGCGCGGCCGCTGCCCGGAGACTGCGCGGCGCTGAGGCCGCTCGGGTGGTGATGCTGCCGCGGGTCCCGCGGGCGGGGACGTGCTCGGCGGCGGGTCCCCGGCGGGGGAGGCTGTGCCCGGGAGGCCTGGGGTCCTGCGGGCTCTGTGCCTTGCCGGGAGGAACGTGCCGTGGTCGTTCACTGCCCTGTTAGTCACGAAGAATGTATAAAATCTCGTTTCTGGCCTGAATGCAGCCGGAAACAAACATATATATATATATATATATAAATAATTTTTTTTTGTCGGCGGTGGGAAGGGGGAGCACAGGGAGCGGTGTTTGTTTGTGCACTCCGTTCCAAGCCCTTTTAAGTCAGCGTTTAGCCCAAAGATCCTTCTGCATGCTTTTCTCTGAGCCCCAGCCCCAGCGCTTGCTTGGACTTGTGTCCTTGGCTTTCTGCTCAGCTGCTTCAGCTGCCACCGGCTCGCTTTCTTCCCCGTTTCTCCTTTACAGGTACATAAGGCTTCATAAAACAGGAATGAAACTCCCCCACCCACGTGTACCTCTATTTTCCATGTTGACATGTTTCTCTGCTTTGGGGCAGAGGCTACTACTTCTTCCTTAGTATTGCTCCTAAAAAAAAAAGAACGAATGTAATTGCTTTTTCAAGTAACTGTAGGTGGAGGCCAATAGATAGACCCAGTCCATAGCAATGCAAAGCATGTGGTCTGCACTCTGTGAATAATACAAATACATTTGGGTTTAGTATATTATGTATATTATATCCAAGTGCAGTAGCAATATGTGCTTCTGAATTTTTCATGCTTAGACTCAGGCGTTATTTAGAGGTCAGTCCAGAGCTACAGTGCAGCACTTTCTCCAGACCCTCTTAATTGCATTCTCCTAGGAATTCAAGAAAAAACCAAACAAACAACAAAACCAAAACCCCAAAACAAACCCACACATATTTCATAAAAAGAACTCTGAGATCATTAGCTAACATTTGGAAGTCCCTCAAATTAACATGCGTGAAGGACTGCGGCCAAACTCCCACTGGCTCCCATAAAAGCAGTAATCAGTCCTTCAAGCAAGATTCTCCACGAAATAACACCCAGAAGCCCCTGCAGAAAGGATTGCCAATCTCACCATCTGACTAGATTAAAAACAGCAGTAACAATGTGATAATTGACAGGAGAAACTTCCCTGACAAGGAATGAATCAGTGTTTATTTTTAGCCTTTCCCCCAAACGCTTTATTTAAACGAAAGATTAACTAATTATTTCCGTTGTTGGATTGTCCACAGTAGAAATAGGAGGTGGCAGATCTTTAGTATCTGCAGAGAGCACTTTGTTTTGACTCTTCCTTTGAAAGGGTGAGATTATGCCAGTTGTCCTTTCATTTCTAGTCCGATCAAATATGAAAATTGTCAAGGTTTCACTAAATTTAAACACCCCTCAATCAATATTTTTTATTTCCGAAATAGCAAGCCTCAAAAAAAAGTGTCAGAAAATGTAAATTGTGATTGTTTCTGAATCCCACCTTTGCTCCAAAGCTTCCCTTGGACAACAAATCAGTATTAATCCTATCACTTCAACTGCCCACTGCAGCCTTTTGCAATGACAGAGCACTCCCATTTCAAGAAGATAAGGCTGCTCTACCTGTGCACAGGAACCAGCAATAAAATTTTATCTAGAAGAAGGCAGCTTACCCGAGAAAAGACTGGCAAAAGATTTGTCCTGTTTTATGGAACAAATGTGAGGACACGTATCAATCCCAAAGACACTAAGTAGTACCTGTGTTTCTGGTAATAAGATTTTTGGTTCTGCTTTGTTTTGAAGCAATTTTTCTTAATTGTTTTTTCTTCTTAATTTTTTTCAATTTTTTCTTAAATTTTGAATGAATTGCTGATTGCAGCATTGGTTTCATTAGCAGAAAATTAATCAAGCTACTTTGAAAATGTCTGAGGACACTGTTTTGTTTTTGGCTTACCTACTGTGGAACACATAAAAGATTCATTGTTTCATATTAATTTTAGTCCTTAACAAGGAGTCTCATTTTCAGCATTTGAGTATGCAAGATGTTTGTGTTTAATTTCTTGTCCATGCTTCTTAATAATTCACGTGGTTTTGGATATGACTACTTAGGCTAGACCAATTCTAGGTGAAATAGTTTATTTGTACCATTTTAGTGTATACTTGGTCATTCTTGAACAGAGTGAAATGTGAAGTAGAACGTGGTCATAGAAATAATGGGAAATTGTCAGTTTACATGCAGCCCACTGGTCTCTTACAGAAGTTAGAGGGAGAAACTGCAGTGTGGTATAGCTCATAGGAGAAACCTGGACCCTCAGCATCTCATCTCACATGCTAGTGCAAGAGATGCATCAAAATGGAACTGTGCCTAGAAATTAAAGTATCAGTTTTCCTGTTTCTGCAGCTCCTGAAGAAACATGGCAGAAATGGCCGTTCACTGGGATGAGCTCGGCCTTGCAAGTGTTGACTGCAATGGTGCCTCCACAACCCCAGATAACTTAATTTCTATTTAGAAG